GGAAGGGGGGCGGGGCGGGGGGGGAACAGGTAAGGGAAGGAGACAGCAGGATAATGACGAAGGGCCTGAATCACGAGAGGCATGGGGTATATATGTGGATATGCAGGTGATAGAGAGAGAGCAATGAAGAGAGAAAGAGCGACAAACAGAGGAAGAGAGGGAAGGACGTAGCAGATCCGCTGGGCCTCATGGAGTATTTGAGAGCAGGAGCTGGAAGAGGATCCCAACGGAGGAGAGAAAGGCGTGTAGAGCAATACGGGAAAAGAGAGGCGAGAGACAAAAACGGGAGGGGGGATGGAGGGCGCAAGGTTAAGGATGGAATCGGACCGGCGGAAGGGAGGCAATTGAGAAGGAAGAGAGAGAGAGAGAGAGAGAGAGAGAGAGAGAGAGAGAGAGAGAGAGAGAGAGAGAGAGAGAGAGAGCATTTGAGGATTGTTTAATGACCGGACGCATAACCCCGAGAGCGAGACAGAGAGGGAATGTTAATCTTCGGGGCAGGCACTATCTTCTCTTCATGGAGGCACGCCCGTGATCACTGCAAGTCCCGCCCTAGATGATTCTGAACGTTATAAAAAAAAAAAAAAAAAAAAAAAAAAAAAAAGTTATAAGGAAAAAAAAGGGGATGACGAAATGTCGACTGTGTGATACTACTACACCCTTTAGTTCAAATTTAATTACAAATTGATAAATTAATAGAATAAAAAAATACAATGAAAAATAATAAAATAATAGAAACTACAATAAAGAAAGTATTTAACATGAGCCCTTCTTCTCTCTATCATTTACCCCTTTTCTTTCTTCTTTCGTCTTTTTTTTCCTTCTCCTTTTATGTCCTGCTATACTGTCGTCTCCTCACGTCCGAAGAAGCTCCTCCGTCACTCTATATTGCTATCATATCTCTTCTTCTTCTTCTTCTTCTTTTTTTTTTTTTTTTTTTTTTAGTTCTCCATTCTGCTGGTGGGGATTTTGCCAGAGCCCCGTTGCATCTCTCCTCTTTTTACATATGTCCCGCGTGCCGGCGTTTTTTTGGGTAACGACAACACCAAATGCTCATCAGCCCAGGATAGAGATCTGTATGAGACCGGAGGTCTGTGTGAGACCGGAGCTGTACCTAGTTAATTGGCCTTTCTCTGAAGACTACCTTCTTCCCCCGAATACAACGTACGGTCATTATAGCTGTATCTAGACTGAAAGATGCCTCAAATACGGCTATAATGACCGTACGTTGTATTCGGGGGAAGAAGGTAAGCTAAGCTGGCTGACGCTGCCAGACTGCCAGTATTTCACCGGGTTGAATTGTGGGGTTCCCGGGCCCGAATTTTTTTTTTTTTTTTTTTTTTTTTTAAAGGGGCCCGAATTTCGATGAGAGTAATATGGACAAAGTGTGTTCAGAAAAAAAAAGAGAGAAAAAAAAATGCTCATCAGCTGAGCGTGGAAATGGAATGCAGAATGGATGATCCGGATTCGATGTAGAATGCAGCTCGGCGTTTTTTGGTGAAGTCAGCACTAAATGCTCATTACACGGAACGATTTCAGTTGTGAGCGATTTGAATGGATGAGGCTTTCTTCATTCGCTTCAGATGAAGAACCCAACAAGGTGATTGGTCATTCAATTCCGCATCCAATCCTCTCAGTGGAGCCTTCTTCTTCCACTCATCAAGGTGAAGAATAGGTGAAGAATTGATTGATTGAGTAAAAGCGGTGAATGGATGGATAGATGGATGGATGGATAGATTAAACTCGGTGGGTTCTTCATCTGAAGCGAATGAGGAAGGCCTCATCCATATTGAATCTGCAATATATTGTTAAAAAAAAAGAAAAAGAAAAAGAAGGCGGAGGGGAAAAAGAAGAAGAAGAGGGAAAAAAAAAACCTCGGCGAAAAACGAGGGGTCATCGGTTTCATCGGTTGATTTTCCGCCGCTGTTTCTTCCTACTCACGACGGACATTATCGATAATTATTTTGATGAATTAATCCATCGAGACGCTACAGACATCATGAAATCTTTATCACTTTTTTTTTTTTTTTTAACATCGTTATCACATTTCATGACGAAAGTCTGTTCTAGACAATAGACGTCGTTAAAAAACTACCCTCCAGCAGTATTCTTCCTTTCCTCTTTCTCTCTCTCATTGCCTGTCTCGTTTCTCTCACAATGTGCAGAGAGAGAGGGAGGGGTGTTTCTCGCTCGCCTTCGCTCTTGAGAGATGAACTCGAAGAGCCGAGGGAGAGTCGCTCTCGCAAGCTGGTCATTTTAACAGAATAGGAGAGAGAGAGAGAGAGAGAGAGAGAGAGAGAGAGAGAGAGAGAGAGAGAGAGAGAGAGAGAGAGAGAGAGAGAGAGAGAGAGA